AGGTCGCCAGCTGATCTGGAGGGAACAACGCACCAGATACAACCAATCCCACATTGTGGGAAGACACAGTTACAGAGGTGGTGGAAAAATGGTTTACGCTCGGATCTCTCTCGGAGCTCACACTGAGGAACTTTGGCCAGTGTGAAATATCTAGACAAGATTCTTGATCAATATGTTCGCCAATTTGCCGCTGCTATTGCCCCTGGATTTCTTCTGATGGAAGACAATGCGCGACGGCACTGAGTTCAGATTGCTGAAGAATATCTTGATTATTAGCGGATAAAACGGCCAGCTCAATTCCCAGAACTGAATCCGATAGAACATCTTTGCGACTATCTTGGGAGACACGTTGCTGCTTTAAGGCCTCCTACAAGGTCGTTAGATGAGCTTGAACAAGGATTACTCCATATCTGGTCGTTTCTTCCCATTTCACTGACCGACAACTTAATTGATAGCATGCAGCGTCGCTGCCGCCAATGTATTGCAGATAGGGGTTGACACATTCTATTTTAGAACCCATTTCTGTAATGTTACCACTCTATTTTTCATCAAAACATTGTGATATACTGTTTTTCCAAGACAGGATTTCTCTGCCAAGAATGCAATTGTTTTGTTGTAATTCATGCTTGTGTTGAACTTTAGAATTCAATGTCGCACTCATTAAAGAACTGTTTAGTGAATATCCCTTTAAATTTCTGGTTTCTATGTTGCTTCATTTTAATATTAGACTCAAACACATGCTGTTCCCTAATTTTTGGAAGGCAATGTGCATAATGGATTCAATAGCGTCATATAGTAACGTAATGTGCATGAAACATTTTATTTTGATCTTTCAGAGTCAAAATTCAAAATCCAAGTAAATGAACGAGTATTCATCATCTTCATTTGCATTTCAATACTATATGGCACATAGCAATAAGCATAAGCCATTCATTTCATAACATCATATTAAATAACACGAATAATTATTTTTTGAAAGATTTAGGTAATATGAGGAAGGGGTTCGAAATATGATTCTGACAAATTAGTATTAACAGCAGTTAGAAAGATATGAAAAGAAAATGTTTTTATGTAAAAAATGCATCCCATATTTTAGGGCAACATAATTCTTTTTTTATTAGATTACACAACTTTATATATTTCTTGAGAATTTCCATTCATTTCTAAGCACAGCCAAAGTTTTTTTTTTTTTTTTTCATTGAGAAACGTTTTTTAAATCCGAGCCACATTTTTTATTTTTAATTACAAGTTGCTGAAAATTTAAATTCTATTCATTTTGAAAAAACATTTATCATATCGAAATTTATTTTTAATGGGGAAAATGTATTGAAGTTTTCCGAAAGTATTTTAATTATGCTAACAAATATTAGGAAATAGGAAACGCACACAACTTTTATTAACACCATTATTAATTTTCCGATTTTCCGTTGTAGATCTATTTTCTGTGGAGGAATTTTTCAAAATTGCGCTAGCTTGTTTATTAATTTTAAATGGCGATCGATACATTTTCATTTATTTACCGTGCCCACCACCGGCCGAGCGGTAACGTTGCTGAACACTGGTAGTTCGGTCCGAGGTTCGAAGGCATCCTCGATAACCCTCGAGTGCTTTGCCGTAATTTAATAAACCAAACCAATCTTATTTACCTATTCGTTTGAAGAGATTTTAGCTGGTTTATGTTAACATTAATGCAACAGTGCTATTTTAGGGAAGCGAGTTCACGTTATTTACTCTTTTTATTAGCTCCTTTTTGTGAGTATTCATTCCGTAGGTTTCACTTTACTTAACTTTAACTATTAATTCCTATACACTCTTTTCACTTTAACTATTAATTCCTATACCTTTTGCGAAAAATTTTAATTCTACTAGTAAATAAATGGTTAAGCCAGAAATGTCAGAACCATATCCCTTTCCACAAAATATATCTGAACAAAACTATCTCGCATAGAATAATTAAAGCTCCCCTGAGTAAAAAAGAACTAATGACTGACAGCTCTACCAGATCTTGTATATTAAGGACTAGTGGATTTTCAAAATTGGAGAATCAATCTTTCCCCCACAGTTCAAAGATTAAAAAGAGCAAGTTTTAGAAGTCTTTTAGTCTTTGAGTATTTCTCTTGACAAATGCATCTACGTTCATTCGTTTATTATCGGAATATTTAAGGTTTATAATTTAGTTTCTGGGAAACTTTGGAATTTAGAATATTTTACTTGCAAAGGAACACGTCTATGCCCTTCAGCTAACGACTGGTTTTTAGACTGTGTACGGATATCGCATACAACGCTAGCAATTGTTAATGCACAGCCGAGTAGCTCCCAAATAAATTTCTTCATTTCCTATAAACTAATAAGTCAGATAAAAATGATTTCACACTTTTCACAAAAAAATATTTTTTTCCAGTAATGTATAGTTCTTTGTCTGCAGCGTACCTTTAGTAATATCAAAGCGTTGAAAATCTATTATATTACGGCAAACCCCACTAAGGCTGTCTACCTAAAAGGATAGATTTTTTCATACAAGACTCTAAGAGAAACTAGCTCCTGTCACACTACAAAGAGAAATCCACGAAAGCATCCTAAAAGCAACTCGTTTGCTGGAATTCGAATCCTCTAATATAAAATTATGTTTAGACAGTTAAAAACGATCCTTAAGCTATCTTTGGGATGTTTTATAAATATGGATAAAGAGTAAATTTCGGAAAATAGTAAACTATGATTGGGCTATGGACTGTATGATAACTAAATGAAATACCACATTTTATGCTTCACGTGTATGCCTAATATTTCTTTACCCGAGATATAGTGGCTTGCTGGGAACCCAAAGCATGTATAAAATGACCCCGTGAACATGTCTGTGTAGCAAACTAGAAACTACCCTACACTGTAGCCCAGGCTTTACTTATAAATGCTTTTTGAAACATCTCTAAAGAATTACATGTTGGGAGTACATAACAAATTTCATGCTGTATGTTATAAGTTTCAGAATCATTCAATGAGTGAATTCTTAGAATTCCGTTTTCTCAAATGACTAAAATGCTAAATTTACGAATATCTCAGCGAATTTATAATAAGAGATTTATTGAATGTGTCCTAATTCTTTACTAAAAGTAACAACTTAAAATTCTTCTATGACCTTCAACTTTTCTTCATATAAGTACAGCCAGTTAAATGTGAAATTATTTAAACGAATTATGATATAAATATATCATAATTCATAACAATCAATATAATGTATATATGAATTCTGATGTAAGTAATTTAATGTAAATTACAGTAACTTAAAAAAGGAAAACCTCTAAGCCTGCTTGTCTCATTTTTATTCAGGATACTCTTTAAAAAATTATTTATTGTTAGAAAAGTGACACGAAATAAAATGCGTTCTACCCAAGCAATATTGAAGATTTATGTCTTTGGCACAAGGTGAAGATATTGTTACAGGCTATGGGAGCGTTGATATCTCTTCAAACAATCACACCAAATTATGAGGAATAAATTAACAATTTCTAATAAATCTAAACACGATACACAGTAAAATAAATATCTGTCAATAATTCAAGGAGAAAGCGAATATTAAAAAAATTCCTCCATTCACAAAATTATCGTTTGTTCCCAAAAGGATTCACGGAGTATTAACTTTAAATCTGAACTCAGCTAACTGTATTTGAACCCCTGAACTTCACAAAGCTCTCGAAGCTGTATTAGTAGTGTGGCACGGGCTTTTGGAAGCTTTAGGAAAAATCTGTCGTAAAGCTTCAAAAATGTGTTCACTCGAATCTTCTAGAAAACCTGCAAGTTAACGCGACATGTCTAAATTTCATCAGACTGGCAACAAAAACTGTTGGCAAAGACCGTTCGGATCGTATTTTTCTATATCTCGCGATCTACTTGAGCTATTTGTACCGTTTAATTGTTTTGAACTGAGAAATCAAAAATCTAAAACCCTGTATAAGAAATAAATATTTCTAGACAAAATATGTGAGCACATACACAGAATAAACTTTAAAATTAGCACCCTAAAATCAACGAATAAATAAATGCTCAAAATTTCCACAATATATTTTAAGTTCTTAAATAAAGTATAATAGTCGTAACTTCGAAACATTTCATTAAGTTACATCGCGTCTTGCCGTTGAAGACTGCTTGCTTTGGATTTTAAATTATATTGTTAATACGCCTCGAAATTTATAGCAAACATTTCTTGTTATTTGTCACAATTAATTAAAAAGTCTTGTATTGCTTCAATTAAGCTTTTGGTATTTATTAATATTAGCTCCCCTAGTTATTATTATCCATTTTTTCTCTGTATTGAAAGCTGTAATTTTTTTTACTACTATTATTATGCATATAATAGTAACCAATTTTGATTTTAAAGCACAAAGTTTTTATTCTTCTATAAGAAGAAAAGTGATGGATGAAGCTTTATTTTCTTTCCAGCACTAAAGTTTAGAAGGATGTAAGCAATAATGGTGCCAAAAACTTTATTTTTTATTACTGAATTGCTTGAAATCCTTAAAGTGCAATTTTATTTTGGAAAGGTTTCACTCCTTTTCCTCCTTCACACTTTAAGAACTTCCCAAATATAATAGATTTTGAAAACCTTTCAACAAAAATCTGAGCTATTATTTTGTTGTTGAAGTTGATGTAAGCGTTCTATCATAAAAAATTGCAGACTGTGAATGGGGAATATAAAATAATAGATTTTGAAAACCTTTCAGTAAAAGCCTGGCTCTTTAGTTCATTCATGTTTTAACTCACTGTGGCCACCATTACTGCGTCTGTTAATGTAGGTTTTCAAAAGATTACTCTTTAAAAATCTGCATGGTTTATTTTGCTTAATTCATTGCATTGACTGTAATTGTTTAAAGTAAGCAAAGTTTACGCCATGCTTGTGATAGATAAAAGTCATGCTTTTCCTGTGAAGAGTCAAAAATTTTTAACGTGATTGCATATATTTATTAAAATGTAATAGAATTGTTGATTGTGGATGTTATATTTTACAGGTTGAGAGAAACGAAACAGAAGAAGAACCATCATACAAAAAGCCATATTTATTAAAAGATGCTCCTTCATCTCTTATATTGCACGACTTCGAGCCTTTGCAAGCGTATAAAGAACAACAAATTTTTGATCTTGTGGAAACGAGCGAAATAAAAATCCACCTTGGAGGCACGTCTGAAACTGACTTAACGAACACAGCAAAACCAAAAAAAGTCAAAACCGTCACGTTCGTGGAAACTCAGCCGCTTTTAATCGAACCGTCAGATGCCATATCTCCAGACGCAATCGGTGCCAAGTGTCATGAACAGATCACTTTCAAGCCACTCCAAAAGACAGAGTATGACACTTATTAATTATTTTTTAACCCAGCATAATTCATTTTTATGTGTTTTGCTGATATATATAAAGCCATTGTTTCTTTTTTATAAATCACAAAGTCTATTTAAATCATTATATTAAGTCTAATTTATTTTCTATTTACAAAATTACGTTTGATCGGTTAACAAATGCCCCTTTTCATAACTTAATGCTTAATGCAGCTGTAAAGAAGTTTAAAAAATATTGTTTAAATAACATATGTGACACTATAATTCTATAATTTTTTATTTCTTCCGAGTATTATTTATAACACCATTTTTATACAATTTAAGCAACTAAACATTCTGATTATCCTGTCTATATACAGCGATGCATTACATGGCTTAACATAATCGATGTGCTAATTACGCTTAAAAAAGGAGTCTTAAAATTTTCACTTTAGGTACAATAGATACAGCTTAGAATTTCTTCAGCTGAATAAGATGGATCGAAATGATGCATTTACATGTTTGTGACTAAAATATAGAAATAATTATTAAAATTCGAAATCCAATGCGGCAAGATAACAGTAGTTTGGTTTATGTGATTGCAGCTAAACCCCGAGAGCTATCTGCCAAAGGAACAGATGCCTTCGTAGAGGATGTTCTAAGGAAAACTGGCTCGTATGCACATTACAGATGGGGAAAACAACCATATAGGCAGCCCGTTGGCGGGATTCGAACTTCGGATCGAATTACCAGTGTTCAGCGACTTTACCGCTCGGCCATTGGTGGGCCTGCAGAACAACATTGATGAATATAATCGGAATACATTTAACATCTTAGTTTGTGTTTCTATTACCTGCAGCAAGCTGAAATCTAATTTTTAAGGCTGCGTTAAACGTGCAGAAATTTCTGGAATTTTTTTTTTTTTTTCTTTAAATAGTGTTTTGATCTGAAGATATGGTTACAGCTTCAAACATCAGGTGATTTTCTGCCGAGAAACAACAAACAAAAAAAGCTGATGTGTACACCACATGACTTCCTTCTACGGAATATTAAATTATACGCATTTTTTTCCTATGTTCCGTTTAAACTTACTGAAATCAATTAAATCTACTTCGTCGAAAGCTCTTAAACCACAACAGAATAAATTCACTCTTTAAAATTCTATTTATTTTTCATAGCGACGCTGTGGCACTAAGTCATTTAACAGCGTTACATCTCATTAATTTTTAACTCAAAATGCATAAAAATTATATCATCTGAAAAATTATCGAGTCGTTGCCATATGTTCTATTCAAGTACAATAATAAATATAAAATATAAACAAAAAAATTAATTAAATAAAAAAGAAAAAGTTTTTTCACAGACGTTTCAGCACTGATTACCTAATGGGCATGCGCTACTCGTAAACATTCTCGTCTGTTCGAGACAGACTGGCGACAATATTTGCTGCTAACAGAAAACACTTATTTCCTCGAATTTCATTAAAGGCATATATCTCATTCAGTTAATTCAGTTCTCACTTCGCAGCAAGGCACAAATACAAAAAAACTCAAAATACTTTCACCCAAAATTTAAAATATAGAAAAAAACATAAAACATAAATACAATTAAAACAATTTAAAGAACAACTTTTAAAATTAAGATTACAGTTCCTATTCAAAAACAAGCAATTTCGCCATCGGCCAAAAATGTAGAATTTTCGAGGCACAAAACTGAAAGTTTTCTTTTGGTCCCACTCGACGAAAAGACCATTTTGCTAAGTTTCAAATGTAAATAAATAGAGAAGCTAAGGCAAAACAAATCTGGTACGGGTACACCACATGACTTCCTTATACGTAATATTAAATTATACACATTTTTTCCTGTATTTCATTTAAACTTATTTCCTTGAATTTCATTAGAGATATATTTCTCATTCAATTAATTCAGTTCTCACTTCGCGACAAGGCAAAAACACATAAAACCTCAAAATATTTTATTAAAAATTGAAAAATTTAGAAAAATATAAAACATAAATACAATTAGAACAATTTAAAGAACAACTTTTACAATTAAGATTAGAGTTTCTACTCAAAAACAAACAATTTCACCAGCGGGCAAGGAGGTAGATTTTTCGAGGCACTAAAGGCGTAGAAGCCGACTTAATTTATTGTTGACGCTATGCTGAGTCAATATATAGGATAATTTAGTTATTTTCAGAATTGATTAAGCATGATTTATTTCGCAATAATAAAAAAAGATGTTGTCTTTGTTGTTAGGAAGCTTAGTTTCTCTGGATTTACAACCAATCCACTATTCTGATAAGTTTCAAATGTAAATAAATATGGCTGCCATGGTAAACAAAAAATAGGATTAGCCGCACTTAGACGACTTTCAAATTGTTGATAATTCTACAATTATTGCATGTAAGCTAACTAAAGGCATAAAAAAACCTTAACCGTAAGTAAGAACAACATAATTCAATCATTCTTAAAGCAAAAAATATGCAATTTAACAACATATAAGAATAATAATAAAAAAAAAAAACTGAGTTCACCCAGCCGAGTAACAGAGTGGGTATATATATATATTTATATATTTTTGGTGCGACCGATTTCAACCGAAAAGGGGATTCACAACTACATATTATAGAAGTCCTATATACAAAATTTCAACGTTCTGAGGCTATTCGTTTTTGAGTTATGAGAGATGCATACATACCTATGAATATTTCTTTAGTCTTGCAAAAATTAAATAATTCTATTTCATATAAAATTATGAAGGGTACCTTTAAAAGCTTTGTAGTAGAGATGTTACTGAAGATTTCCTTATAATAACAATCATAAAGAAATTACCAAAAAATGGAAGAAAGTGTATTAAAACTGCATCATAAAAAACCAGAAGCACCAGAAATTGCCATAATAAATCAGAAATTGTCATGATAGGTAAAGCATGCTGAGAATAGAAATGATGAGCATTTCACACATTATTTTGATTATATCAAAGGACACTAGGGCTATCTTATTAAGTTGAGTTTTCTTCCTGGAGGACATTCTGTCAGAAATCGGCTGGCCTCCACGTTACACATAGAAAAAACTCCGCAGACGTCCATGCAGGCAGTCCGTTCGCCTGGAATTTAACTCAGATCAAACAACCAGCGTAGTTATTGTTGTCGTGTCCATATTACAGGGAACATTATTTGCCATATCCTACTCCGAAGAGAGGTTGAACTTCTATTTTTCACCCACAATTCTGAAGGAGAGCGCTCCTTGGTCGGGATTCGGGAGTCTCCCGCCCATCTCCACTCCCACCAATTCACACGAAAGGAATTTTGGCTCGCCGCATATTTAGAGTCCCGCCATGCCACACAGACACTATACATTTACAAACATCCATGTCTTCTCCGGGATTCGAACCCGGGCCCTTCGGTACTGTAGTAGGCTTCCCTAACCACTATACCGTCTGGACGACAACGCCAAGTGTTCAGCGACTTTACTGCTCGATCAGTGACGGGCTAATGATACTTCAGAGCAGTATTAAACTGAAGATTAAAATGCAATGTTTTCTTTCAATCACATTTAATTGTCATTTTTTCTGTTGAAGGCTATGTAATGCCTCATAAGAAGTATTCATACCAGCATACCTTAGAAATCGATTGCGAGATAATCATAGTTTATCCGAGACTGCGAGGTACTGAACAGGGCAAATTCTGCACTTATTGAAGGATATCTAATAACTGTTAATGGGACTTTGTAATCGATTCGTCCAGCAAACTGCAAAGAGAGATTTGGATGTCCTTAATGCCCCCCGATAACCTAGATGAAAGACGTGTCTTTTGCATCGCTATTAAAGATCGTACAACTACATCACCTAGCTTGAGTCAGGAATATATAGTGTGGTGATGTCTGCCAAAGCCACGGACTCATAACAATGTCACTTTTGCTTCGGCTTCCCATGACGCTATAGCACAGGAGTCAGTATCTGATGACGATGCAGGTGACAGGTGACGGAGGACGGGGACGCCTGGCGAGCTGAAACACATAGATATACAAAATTAAACGTAAAAGCATAAAAACACACTCGTAATTACGTAACATAAAGACATAAACACACGAGAATACATATCATGATACATAGAATACATATGGAAACACGTAGAGCACATAAATGCAAATATTACACACAGAAGAAAAACATATGAGAGACATAGTAAGGTGTGCGTAAAGCAGTAGCGCTGTGCGGAAATATGCTCAGTTCCCATAATACATAATGTACATACTTTCATTAGGGGCTTCTGTTGCATGATTTACATATTTCGTTGCATACACTACATTCGTGCATTGTACGGATATTATATATTTCGATTTACGATAACACATCATTCCATTGGGTGCCCCAGTGCTTTACACTGATAAACATGTCAGTAACATTATTTCTGCAAGTTGGTGGCTATTGAAAGCAGATGTTAACACGAGGCTCGAAATTGAATGTGGAATGTGTACATACTGCGAATATCTAATAGTTGAGTACATTGTCTGCAGTACCATGCTACTGTGGCTCGCAAATGTCTTGCCTAGGGCGTTGATTTGCTGTACAACTGCGCAGATGATACTCCTTATAGCTGGCGGGTGTTTGTGATTATGAAACGATAGTAAAGTGTTCTATCATTCGTTGGATGTGGTAAGTGGTGGTTTGTTGTTAGACCGCAGTCAAATAGGTAGTAGTGCTCGGGAGAACCTAGCATGCCACAGACACAATTGTCAGATGCTGAGATGCCATGACGCATAAAATAAGATGGAAATGGGCCATGACCCGTTATGTACTGTGTCAGTGGGGCTATTGTTATAAGACGTTCCGTGTCTACCTTTGGTAGGAAGTTATACGTCCTTCTCCCTGTGTCGCCACTATTCCATTCTTCTTGCCACTTTTCTTTACAGATATTACGCAGAGTTTTCTTGAGGTGTGAGACGGGGGTAGGGGCTCTTATAGTTTGAGCGTGGATGTTGTTGGCAGCCTCATTAGCCAGTCGGTCTGCGACGTCATTCCCTTCGTT